AAGGGAAAATCTGTGATACAGAAGGATAAATAATGTGGATTATTTGCAGGACGGTGATTTATTCAAGGTCTCCTCTTGGGAAAGGAGCTACAGCAGTGGAAGTTCAAGAAGGTGCCTGTGGTTTTTTAATTAAATGGACTTTGAATATCTCCTTGCTTTCCAGCTCCCACCAAAACAGTAAATGCACCAATTTGGATACAAATATCCAAAACATCTAGGCTTCTCTTATCTTGTCAGGCACTTTTTTTCACGGCAGCAGTGTTGGCATAGCTACCCAACTGGAAAACAGAAAAATGCTTTGGGTCTTATCCAGCCAACCACAGTCATCAGTACATCCCAATGCACCAATATTTAGGTTTAAACATTCAGAAATCAGTTTGAAATTGTGGTCACATACTTCTGGAAGCAGGAAATATCTACATGAATAGAACGGATGCATTGCTCTAGTATTTCCTCCGTTATGTACTTTGATGTCATTTTGACTAGTGTGCCAAGATCTTTAACCAACCCCTCTCCCCCTACAGTCTACAGGAAAAACTTCTGGAAATATTTCATTGATAATTTTTGCCAAGACTACAGATGAAAGGGAGCCACTTGTGTATTATCACAGTTTGTAAGTAAACATTTACAGTATGATGCCAATATTTAATATGCAATGTAAAAGGTACAAATGGAACAGAAAGTAAATCTGTCAGAGTTTAATGTGGTGTGATGCTCTGGGAGTGTCCGTGTGTGATCAGAACTGTAACACCACAGAGCAAGTGGCATTGCAATAAAATGTCGTAGCAGCAAACTGCTTTTCCAGCTGTGTTAAAACTTCCTTCCCTCTTCCCTGGAACTGAAATGAGAAAGATATTTTACCCTTGAAATGACTTGGAGAAACCAGACGAGGCTTTGGGAGTTAAGATCACTGGCTGCTTTTGCAAGACAATAAAGGTGTATTGAATAAATGAGTCCCAAGGAGTTTCTTTTGGCTTTATGACTGCCTCGCTTTGTTTTTCCCCTCTATCTCACTGAGTGTTTTGTAACAACCTTCTGCATCTTACTGAGGTTGCTTTGCCCATTTTCATTTCCGCTGGAAAGCAAGACAGTATTCAATGTAAGAGTCTGCTTCTGTGTAATTTCTCAAATACCACTTTTGCATGTAAGGATAAAAACTATTTAAACAGTTCTTACCCCTGTTGAAATGATCAGAAATGTCCCCATTTTTTTTTCATAAGGCATAGACTGCATCTCCACAAATTGTCTGTGCCATCACAAACAAGATTCATCTGACTAAACGTCAATGCACAATGTGCATGTCCACATCCAAGCTGTGTATACTGACGTTATACTCCATGGAGGCAGAGCTACAGGGAGAACCATCTGCTAAAAGAGACCATCAAGACAGACCAGTTGCACCATATCCTAAACCCATCTTTTTTCCCCTCTTTGTTTTTCAGATCTAGCTAGCTCAGCTGCTGGTGTGTACATGTTCCTTATGTGTAAGACCAGTGGAGACATGTCCCAGCCAAGCACTGCTCAGGCTTATTCCCAGGCTGTGTGACTTTTCTTGTAGTACTTGGTTTGTCCTTACAAAATACATATTATAGAGAATGACCTCTCTTTTTTCTTCTGAAAAAAGAAGGACTCTCACAACAGGACCATTCCTTAGAGATATGCTGGGTGAAAGGAAAGATGAGCTAACAGTATAGGCTGCACAGAGAGGTGGTAGAAGCCCTGCCCCTGGAAACATTCAGGTTCAGATTGGACTGAGCTCTGAGCAACCTGATATAGTTGAAGACATCCCTGGTCACTGCAAGAGGTTTGGACTAAATGACCTTTAAATGTCCCTTCTGACTCAAGGCATTCTATGCTTGATTCTATGATTTTATGATTCTATATCGGATCTCCACAGTACAGCTGAGGGTATTCTCTGACCTGTGTAATAAACAAAGATAATTATATTCAGCTCTTCTGCTGACACTTACCCAACTAAGAAGAATTATTATCATCAACAGGCAAACCAGCCGTCAAAGTCCTCTCTCCACCCTTAAACCACACATGAGATCCAACGTGCCAGACCACTGGAGGGCAGAACATGTCAATATATTCACTCACAGCACAGGGTGTGCAGAAGGGAGCAAGCTGACTCCAGAATTACGCCATGGCAGATGGAAGGACCCCGGTGATCAGTCCAATTCTCTTGCCCCACCATCCTGGGAGCTTCACTTGCTGTGAAGAGTTGGTGAGCTCTTTCAACAGCCAGAACACCACATACACAACAAATCACCTAACTACACTGCAGAGTCAGTTCTTATAGTGGTTGCTTCTTGCCGCATCTCCAAGTTAATGTGGAAGGTGGGGGCAGCTGGTGGTGATCTCCTAATCACTTCCCACCCAAGGCTGCCAGATCCTGGGTGAAAAACAATCAGGAGGGTCCTGGTTGTGGGCATCACCCACATGCCAACTCTCATTCAGGGCTGGGGGTTTAACCCCAGCACTTCATGAGCATAAGTTTCAGCTTGCAGTCAGTGGAACTGTCCATGGACTCCAGAAAGAGCTGACTTGTGCCATGATTTCATCTTTTTTTTTTTTTTTTTTTCTTTTTTTTTTCTTTTTTTTTTTTTGCAAGCAGTAGAGTGTCTTGAGAAATGACCATGTTGCAACAAGCGTGAAATTAAAGTGTCTGACTGAGCTGGCATTCGTGCACAATGCTCTGTGCAACACATTTAAGTAGATGCCATCTATTGAATAACCAGTGTCCTCTTAAACAGCTTAGTAAAGCGTTGATAAAGACACCCACCAGCCAGACAGACCAGACTGCAAATGTTTGGTAGAATCCTACTGCTAATTAAATTCTATCTGCAGGATATTCCCCAAGTTTTTAATAGTCATTGATGAACTTCTTACAGTCTAAAGGCTGTGAAACTTTCATTCTATAAACTTTTCATTCTGTAAACCCAGGCTTCTTGGTGGCTGTGTGTGCATTAGCAGGCAGGATGTGAGGCACATTTGGAGAAGTTTAAGATTTGCTTTCACCTATTCCTGTGGTCTACAGGCCCAGGGCAGGATGCATGCTATTAAGTGCTCTGTATTAGCAAATCTTCTGGTTCTGTGTCACCCAAAAAAAATATTATTTCTGTGCTACAATATGAACCACAATGCAGTAGGGCTGTAAGGTTGAGTAGTTAAAAAATGCTCTTTCAGCCTGAATTAAGGTGCTAGTATAGTTGCATCCTATGTGGTTGATGTTGTTGAAGATCACATACAATAACTCTGCTTGCTCAAAATAACTGTAATCATAAAAAAAAAAAAAAGCCAATGTGCATTTTCCTCTTTTTCCCTAATGTTTTTTTACATTGAAAATCTTAATAAATTTCTGTCCCCACTTCCAAAATCTCGATGGCTCTAATCTACATCATCTGAAACACCACAGGTCCTGAAAGCACTCAATATATTATTAATTTCTGTAGCATTACTCAAGTAAAAAAAAAAATTTCATTTCTTTCTAGGGTAAAGATCCAGATCAAGATCTGAGATCATAATGCATTTTGACTGGAACAGAACAATGGGTGTTATGTGAAATGTTATCCACCCTGGTCCTTCTCAAGTGAAAAAGATATTAAGCAAAAAAAAAAAAAGTCATGAGCATGAAATAATTGATTCTAGTCTGTGCCCTTATTAAGCAAGTAGACCAACACAATGCTCATGACAGATAAAAAATCTTTCCCTTGGTATATTTGTAAACTGCTCTGTGGTTGATAGGAACACCATATCATTTCATGGAGTGATAAAAAACTGTATTTTCTGAAAAACTCTTGGCAAAAAATTACATATAATGTGAAAACAAATTTTAAAATAGATTCAGTTACAAAGAACTTTGTTTTGTAAAAGATAAAATGGAAACAATACAGTAAAAATAGATTGTTACAAATAAAATGTTTTTCACTTCCAAAAGCCTAACTTACTTGTTTTAAAAAGTTGAAATGAAATTTACTTACTGATGGTAATCCTTAAAAATAAAAGCACAATAGGACAGAACTAGCATGCATTTATTATCAAAATGTGGATGTACAAGGTGTAAAATACCATAAAAGTTTGGAATTGTGGGTACTGTTTAAAAAAAAAAAAGCTTTCATGTTAGCAACACTTTGGATGAAGTATTTCTATCCATTGAAGATGGTTCTCATCTAGAACAGATCAACAACAACAGAGACACATGTAACTTCTTATGTTTTATAACACCTGACCATGGATTTGAGCAAATTTTTTGTTTTTAGCTCTCCTTACTAAGCAGCTTTTCTGCTCAGTCAGCCTGTTACAAATAAAAAGGTCTTTCTTTGTCATGATTATCAAATGCTACTAATGTGTCTGATCCTGCATCCACTAAGGTCACAAACAAAACTTTGACTTGGTCGAGGTCACATCTTTTACTACAAAACAGAACGCATAAAGTTAACGAACAATCTGAATACACTCATGCTGCAACTTTTCCAATGGGCTTCAGGTATTTAAATGAAATTTTTCAGTGTTTGACCTATTACATCGTATACATCTGTTATAAACTCAACAGCAGGTGCTCAGAAACACCCGGGTCCAGCAGTTCACAAAATTCCAAGCTGGACCATTTTAATTAACCAAGACAGAAAGGGTAACATAAAGTTGGCCCAAACACAACTTTGTCTCTTACAAATAGCCAGAAACATGGCAAGCTTTGAGAGGCTGCCTCATAAATTGCTTCAAGTTTTCTTCCAGGATTTTGAAAAGGTAACTCACACTTACTTATAAAACTGTATTTTGTTGCTGATGGTAATTTTTCCAGTGGCAGAGCCAAAAGAAGAGCAGGGTCAAAGGTGAAAATTCTCAGCCAGTGTGCTCTGTGGGTTTGTCCTTGGCTGGGGTTCCTGCTTTTGGAGGAGTCAGATGTCCCAGGATCTGAGGGGTGAAGATGAAGGCATGCACCCAGAGAACCCTTCCATACCCTCCTGGGGTGGAAATGTGTGTGGGGTCGTGGCTCACTAGCTGCTGCAGCCTCTTGTGCAGCCGTGTCCCAGTAAATTGTTGTTATGTCCATCCTGGAGTTTCTCATGGCTCTGAAGGGATGCTCTGCTCTCCATGCTGGAAGTTTGTCCACTTTGATCCTGCTGTCTTCTTAACCTGCCAAAGGTTAAAACATTGATATAGCTAACGTGAGCAGATAACTGTATCAGAATGGCAGCCATTGCCTGTCCTCTGGACAGCCCCATACACCTGTGTATGAGCCAGATTCCTGTGCCATTAAATCTCTATTAACTCCCTGGGCCTTATAGCTGCCATTTCTTCTAAACATTGATGATTGCTTCCTTCTAAATATCTGTACCTGGCTCTTGGTCTCGGTCAAATACTGCTCCCATTAAAACGTGTCATAAACAAACACCCGAGGAGAGTGCTTTCTGTGGCTTAACACCTCTGCTCAGGCTGTAACTGGACAAAACCTCCAGGCAGCTCGAGGCTGATGAGCACTCAACAGCAATAAGCAGCTGCTCCCTTGTGCTGTCCTACAAAACTGTCACTAATCCTCACCAGTACAAGAGAAAAACACATGAGATTAAAGCATATTCAGGATTCCTCTAGTTATTACTTCCTATATTATCAGAGGCTCCTAGGTGGTTAAGGAACAACAACAAAATCCTATGCTGTTTAAAGAGTGTTAAGTCATCTTCTTTTGACATAATTTTCTAGACAACAGCAACAGCCCTAGCAGAACCTGCAGTCCCCAGCAACTGTTCTATCACTGAGCTTCTCAGCATTTCTGTTCAACACTGGTAGTGACTTCTGCGATCAAATTGTGTTCCTTGTGATATTCAGGGTTTCCTCCAAACACAGACACAATTTAAGTGCTTCCAAGAAAGGTGTAAAGAAGCTATGAGGTAGAGACCAATTTTTAACTTTTTTTAAACATGAACAGCTGCTGTTTTGAAGGAATTTTTAGCTGAGTGTTTGTTTTCTCAAAATGAGAAAGAGCTGTAGGCATATTCCTGAAAAATGCACCAAGAGTTGGCACCAGAGACACCAGGGAAGAAGTTATTTGTTACAGTTTTTACAAGTGGTACATATGATACATTAAAAAAAAAATAATTGAAAGTAGCATTGAATATGTAGAAAATAATCAACGGAAAAGCATGTAAAAATGAAATATAAAGGATCAATTTTAAAGGGTAAAAAATACTTCCAAGTGGCATAAAAACTACAGAGACAGCATTCTGAAGACTTGCAAGAGAATGTGAAAGGACATGAAAATTCTATCATAGCTAAAAAGAGAAATAAAGGAGAATAGTTAAAGTAAAAATAATGAAAATGCTGTCCGAACAGGTTGCTTAAAAAACAAACACAGGCATACTAAATAAAAAGCTATACAGCAGACAAAACAAAACAAAACAAGAAAAAACAACAAACCAAAAAAACAAAACGCAAAACAACCAAACGACATACTAGAGGAATAAACTGCTAAAACCATCTACTCTAATGGTGATTTTTTTCAAGTGTACCAGAAATACAATGGCTAGCAGTAAGCCTATGGGCTGGTGGATGACTGAGATATTAGAGGATAAGGTAGGAAATATGAGTTCCTAGCTAAAAAGCCAATGAAATATCTTCACCAGTAATCATGACAAATGAGCTTAGAGACATTCCTTTATGAGAAATTTGTCCATCGTCTCCAGTCAAACCATCAGTCAAACAACTTTAGAATCAGTTGTTCAAATGAATGTTGACAAAATATCAAGAGAGTGGATTTTCACCTGTGGGCTCTCAGAAAATTGAAATATATAACCTCTGCACAGCTGAATGAAACATGTAACTTACTGTTGAATCTGTCTTGGCACCAAGGAGTAGGACACAGTAAATGTGATGGCATCCTAGTTTTGTTTGTTTGTTTGGGTTTGGTTTTGGGTTTGGTTTTGATTTTTAAATAAGGACTTCAAAAAAGATCCAAGGGACTTCCAGGAGAGTAATTGAATCAGACAAAGTCTTGAAACACCTTAGGGTCTGAGCTACCTGCCCCTAGAAGACTAAGGTATTTGTAGGCATCAAGAGAAAAGGTTACAGTCCTTGGAAACTCATGTTGTAAACTGTGAGTCGCAAACCTGTGCAAGCTGCCAAATAGCGTAGTAAGACAAATTTTGACTCTATGGAGATCTGAGGTATCACTGTGTTGGTCTCAGACATGCAAGTGCTTTCTCCCTGAATTTATTATTATTTACTTGGTTCATAAAATGCTGAAAAAGCATTCTGTACTGTTCAAAGTAGTAGGAAAATAGGAAGTCTCTCAATAACAGCCTAAAGCAGGAAAACACCAATTTAATTTTTTGAAAACTGCTCAAACTGGCACAAAGGCAGCATGAAAGGAGAACAGCAGAAAAAGGAGAGAAATTAAGCCCATACTGAGTTCAAAAGATACCACTGACCGGTCTCAAACTTCCCATTCTCTACAGAGGTGATTTCTGTTGCTGATGTATTTCCATTTACTTTGTTTTGTCCTGTTCCTATTCCTCAGGTCTATTAGTGAAGCATAATTAGATTATGGGGAATCTAAGTACTAAAGGAATACATTGCTTTAGCAGTGCTTCACTGTATTCCCTGTTCAGACATTTTCTGTGTCCATATCTAGATTCACTACCCACATTTACAAACTATCAGAGCGAACAATAGGTTATTAAACTGATAATGTAGTGAAAATTTAACTGTTATTTAACAATTTAATAATTTATCATTCATTTTATTTGGTGATTAAAATTGCATTAAGGACTTCACTGTAGGAGGTTATCATGGGCATGGGAGACGCTGATTCTGTTTCTACCTCTGTCACTCTTTGCAGCCCTTTTCTGCGCCTCAACTTCTGTCTTGACAAGTAATGAAAACATAAAGGGGTGAAGCTGAGGGCGAACTCTATTTCTCCAGGAATCTCACATGATTATAGTCATAAATCTGATGAGCTGGATAAGTTGTGGCTACGAAATAGAAACAAAAAGAATATTGAAGCCATGCCTGACTGATGAAACCTTGTGTTCCTATCAAAGCCATACCCACAGGAGACTTTTCTGGATAAACTGGTGACAAAGCATGCTACAGGCTTGTACTTGCATCTCTCAATTAGCCAAAGGATGCAATGAGCAGGAACGTGCCAAGTAATGTGGGAGTTTGCTTGTAGTTGCACATCAGCTGTGGAGGCAGCTGCTGCTGAGAATGATGGAAGCTGAGAGCTTTGTGCCTCTAAATGCTGCTCTGTGCTCACAGGCCTGCATAAAACAGGGAATTACAGTCTGGTGTCTGTGATGATTAAGAAAAGAAGGTGGCATATATAATCAAGCAAATTGCAGTTATTCTACATAGGTAATTATACAAACATGCATTATTGAATATACAAAAATACAAAAGTAAAAACAGAAGACTGGTTAAAAGCTTGCATGGAAAATATAATGCTGGAGCAAAAAAGATCACTACAGCTATGGCAGGACAGTGTGAAAATCACAAACATCTACTGATGTAGCAAACTCAGAGACCACCAGGGAAGAGCTTACAGCTCAGCTTTGTTCACTAGATGAAGAAAAATGTTGAAAGTTTGCCTTTAGGCTGTTTACCAAGATAAGTTCAAAGAAAAAAGGATGAAAAGTTGCAGATTCAGCATAACTGTCAAAATTTCTATTTTGCTAAGAGACTAAGGCTTCCTCCCAAATCACTGCAATTTTAGTAGAAATAAAGGCAATTGATCTCTATTTCAAACTAGATCCAAACTGCTGCTAGGCTCAGGTCAGCACCTGAACAAATCTCACTACAGCAGCTTCGTGTGGACAAGCAGTCTCTTCAGTTAAAATCCTGGACAGCTGCAGAAGTGAAATTTATCTCTTGTTCTTGCGTTCTGGATTCCGTGGGGCCAGAGCTGGGGTGCTTTTCCACTAGATGTTCTCAGCTTTGCAAAACCATGGGTGCCTTGACACTGTTCCTTTAATCATGGCAAAATAAATGCAGTCTGGGCCATTCTGTTTAAAAATGGCACTAATGCAATAAATCATTTGTAGGAAACTGCTTTCCAGTTAATGACTTATCTTGCCTTTAAGCTGATGCAGCTATAAGCTGTGACAACTTGAAGGTCCAGGGAGAATTAATGACTCGATGGGGATTAGCTGTGGATCTGAACCAGGTGTGGACCATTCCTGTGCTGAATACTATTGATTGAGAATAAATGGCAAAATGGTCAGCTGTGGATGAAGAATGTGAACAAGTGTTTCTAGTAGCTTCTTGTAGGAAAGAAAATAAAAACTAAACAAAACAAAACCACAAACCAAAACTGCAAGGAAAGGATGATGAAAATGAGTTTGAACAGTGTCTATTACATTTAATCCATGACAATCCTGTACAAATACATAAATAGTCTCAGAGGCAGATATGCTGAGAATGGAGTAGTTCTGATGAACCAACAAAGAGATAAGCAGAGATTGCCTTCCCCTCACCACTGATATATCCAATACTGATAGTGCATGACACTGAGCACTGAACAATCTCCTCCCCAGCAGTGAGGAATAAAGAAGCTGTACCAACCACTATAGGAACATATCAAGAAAAGTAAATGAGCCTTCAATCAAGTCTTAGGCTTCATCGGTATTTTTGGTAAAGTGTCTGTGTGAGCTATGGAGAGGTTTTTAAGATCCCTATTATCTTAATACTGAGGTATTATAGTCAAGTTCTTGCAGTATTGATTTCCAATGCTGGATCTTGAATCAGATATGGGTCAGTGGAAGGGCATTCAAAGGTCAGGGAAAAATTGTTAATCAAAAAATCCCTACAGCAATATAGAGCAGTGACATCAGGCTTACAAAACATAGCTGCTGTGTTTAAGAGCTGTGCACAGCCTTGTTACACTGCTTGCCACTCTTGTCTGGCTCTGGCCAGGTTATATCATAAAGATAACATCTTTATGCAAACGGATGTACTCACCAATGGGTATTGCCAGGCTGTCAGTGTGAAACTAAAGCCTCAGAAAAGTGACAGGTTTTAAACAGTAGGCATATACTCAGCAAACATTGAGAACAGTCTCTACTTACAGAAGAGAATTCAAGCCAGGCAGAACTACCACTTCTCTGAGACTCCACATGTACCAGATCCTACAGGAAAATCTTATT